ACAGAAATGGGTGGGCCCAAGTGGGATGGAGAGCTGCAGAACACAAGTCCTACCTCGAGGAGGCAGCAACTGCCCAGAGTCCGCTGACGGCAGCTGGGAGGGACTGTGAGCCCAGGATTGCCAGATCTGTCGGCTTTTTTCAAGATAAGCTTGAAATCAGATTTTCACATGGAATTGTCAGCTAATTCAATTTAAAACACAGCATGCGCTGAATGCAACATGCCTATGGTTCAACATTGGCTGCAGGCCACCAGTTTGTGTGTTCGGATCCAGGAGGATTCCATTAAGGATTGTGCACCTCAGAGCCATCTGCAAAGGTGAAGACCCATCATTTGCTTCTAGAAAACAGGGTTGACTCCACATGGGGTCTGCAAAAGATGAGGACAAAGCCAGTGCCCCAAAGTAGACTGTGGGAGTCACCCACCCACTCATCATTATTTAATCCAGCACATTAACCTCCCACCACGAGCCAGGAGATCCAGTGGTGAATGTGACAGGCGGAACCCCTGCTCTCAGGGACCCTATGTTCTAGCTGGGGAGACACTTGAATTAATGAGTAACACTTGTGATACATGAGGAGCTGCCGTACAGCATGGGGGTTAATAGTCTGGGTTTGAGTCCTGAGTCCACTGCTTGCTAGTTGTGAATTTAGGCAAATCTCTAATCTAGGTCCAGTTGCCTTACTTCTTGCCTGTGGAATGGCCATGATAACCTACTAAGGTTGTTCTGGGGATTCACTGAGACAATGCAAATAATTATTAGTTGCTGCTATTAAGTAGAGAGCTGTGAGAGCAGGGAAGAGGGGAGCCTAGGCTTAGCATGGGGACCTCCCCATTCCAGTGAATACTGGGGCTTTTTGCCAGTGAGGGGAGCAGGAAGCCACAGGGGTTGGAAGCTCCAGGCCCAGCAGAGGCTCAGTCCTCTTCTGCTGAGATGGCTGCAATGAGGCAGCTGGCTCATTTCCTGTCTGTTTCTTCTTCCTGTGGATCCAATTTCAGCAGCCTACTTGTCTCAGTAGGATTTGGTGTCCAAGGACTGGGAAGGTACTGCTCTGCTCTTGGCCATGATGGAAGAAGGCCAGGCCTTTCCAGCTATGAACCAGAGCCCCTCCACGAAGCTGCTGCATTTTGGAGCTCATCAAACCCTACAACTAAGTTTTAAAAATCTAAGTGCATGTAAGAAACAAGTCAGAATCCCTTTCCTATGCCCTTAAGTACAGAATACCAGCTTCTGCTGGCAGAGGCCGCAGCCACAGGGACATTTTGGACCTTTCTTTCACCTGGGCAAAAAGGGAAGAGGCAAGTATCAAGAGACTTGACTCACCAACAATGTGTCTGGGGACATGGAGTTCGGCTCTGTTTATGACATGGTCTCTGATCTCAGGTGGTCTGCAATCCAACCCTGTAGAGAATCACAGTCTTGGATTTGGAACGGAACTTCTAGGGCATCTAGTCCAACTTTCACCCAAAGGGGGAAGCTTTTCTATAAGAAACTTGGCCTTGCTGGGTGCGGTGGCTCACGCCTATAATCTCAGCACTTTGGGAGGCCGAGGCAGGCAGATGATGAGGTCAAGAGTGCAAGACCAGCCTGGCCAACATGGTCTCTACTAAGAAGACAAAAATTAGCCCGGCATGGTGGCGCATGCCTGTAATCCCAGCTACTCGGGAGGCTGAGGCAGGAGAATTGCCTGGGAGGAGGCAGGTTGCAGTGAGCCAAGATCGTGCCACTGCACTCCAGCCTGGGCAACAGAGCAAGACTCTTGTCTCAGGGAAAAAAAAAAAAAAAAGAAACTTGGTCTTCATCTTCTGTATTCCTAAATGAACCACATTTAACAGTGATTCAAACAAATGAATTCACAGTAAGGTAGCCAAACTCATCTGGGTGCCCAGTTTTACTGGGAGAGCTAAAACATCGCTGAAAATCAGAATTCTCCACTGGGAGAGTGATACAGAGTAGACAGGAGCACCTTTATAAAAGTGCTGGGGGCGGGGGATGAGACCTCACTCCAAGGCATGCAAGGATAACAAGAGGCCCTGCCTTTTTAAGGAGGTGGGACCAGCTGAATATAGGACTTTCATTTGCTCACTGAATCTTGTGAACAGGTCTGAGGCAGAGGGGAATTGTTCCAGGCGATGAGGGGACGCTGAGCTGTCAGAGCAGCCCCCCTCCCTGTGCAGGGCCTAGAGCAGGACTGCCTGGGTAAGCTGCTCCTATTAGCTTAGGACCTTGGGTACGTTACATTGCCTGTTCACTTCTCTGTATGGTGGAGACAATGAACACGATGCCTGGATGTCAAGTGCTCAGTAAATAGTGGCACTGCCATTTTCCCAAGTGGAGTGGTTTGTTTCTCTTCCAGCTTCCCAAGTTTAGAGCACATGTCCTAGTTCTTCAGTGCAGTCAGTCACATGGATTGCTTCAGAGCCCAGCAGGCCCTCCCACCTCATCCCTGTGCTGCCCCAACAGCCACGATGACCACTGTAGCCTGTATGGCAGCCATTCTCCAGTCAACTCACCCTGCCTCCACTTTCTCTTCCTTAAAATGGCTTTGTTACTAACCACTGCAGTCCTCATGTTCAAAAGCCTTCAAAGAGCCTCCACTGCTTAGAATAAAGAAATGGGGAGGGGGCCTGCCTGGAGGGCCTACTACAGGCCATTAACTATGGCAGGTTCTCTGTGCATGCTGTAATCACAGGCTTACTAAGTGTTTAACAAGTAAGTGCTTTATTGGGGTTTGGCTTGGAAGGTTCATCTGACTTCCCAAAGAACAAGCTCAAGTGCTTTCTCTTCTCAAAGCTTCCCAGACCACAAAGCCCTCTGTGATCACTCCTTTTACCAAAGCACTAGAGCACCCTGGTGAGTACAAGTATGTGGTCGAGAGCCTCACCCTCAGGTAAGTAAGCGTTCTACAGCTCTCCTTCCCCTCACATGGACACATGATGTGCTGGCCCCATCCCATTTTTTTCTCCATCCCTAGCACACAGGCCAGAGTGGAGCATAATCTAGGTGCTTGTCAAATGTTAACTTAAGGGCCTCCTTCACGTCCTTCAAACCTCTCTCCACTGAGCCCAGTCAATCATAAGGCTCAAGTACAAAATCCTCAGGAAGCGACAAGCCTCATCTTCCATTCAAGACAAAAGGAACGGAGTGGAGTGTGCACCTTGGTGACAGCCTCGACTGCTTGTCAAACCACTCTGGCCTTATTAGGCCAATCTATTGGAAGTGCTGCCAGGAGAGGCTGGCCCCACTGGGACAGATGCAGACTCCCATGATGGCACAGAGAATGCTGGGCCCGGGAAAGCATGCCAAGAGGCACTTCCCAGAAGCTCGTAGGTGCCACCGCTCCTTCGCTTCACTCCAAGCCAGATACAAAGAATGTGGGAGTAACAGTTACTTAACTGATGTCCCCCAACTGTCTCATTTTATCCAGGAGAAAATGGGGGTCCAGGACTAAGTGCTTCTCCAAAGGTCAAGGTGAAATAGAAAAGCCAGAGCTTCTATTTCTGTGGTAAGATACATCCCCTTCAGTTTCCTGTGACTTAAGCCTGTCACAAGGCAGGGGCTCAGGATCACCCTCGGATAGAAGTCAGGGCCACTGTGGGATTGGTGGCAACTGACGGGGCATCCTTTCAGATCTATGTTGATCCTTCCCTTGCTTTCTCCTGAGGCCAGTTTCCCTCCCTAAATGTCCTAGATGAACAAAAGCTTACTGCCACTTGTAGGACACCTTGTATCATTATGCCAAGTTTCTACCCTCAGGCCCTCTTTGTATTCCCATCTACTCAGAACTGGCATTTTAAAGATCCCAGGGCACCTACTGTGTGCCAGAGACAGGAGCCAAGATGAACTGTGCTGCACCACTGTACACAAGCCTCATCCTGTCCTCTTGCTTTAGATATTGCTCAGAACCTATTGTTGTATTCAACTAGACTTGCACTTGTTCCTATTTGCCCTACATGGGCATAACTCTTAAAACCAAGCTTTGTTCAGAATTCCTCTGATTGATCATTTAAGTAAATTTAAAAGTCAATTCAAGGAATACAAAAACTGCATAATAATTTCCAACTCAAGAGTATAAACTTAGATCACTCACTAGCCTCTGGTTGAAAACAGTAATCGTGATTTATATGGAATGCTAAATACCTATGTTCTAAGTATGCTCTCTTGCCACAAACCCATTTAATCCTAACAATCTTAGGTAAGTTGAGGTAGGCTGTTGTTCTCATAAATAAGTGTGGTAAAACCCCAATCTCAAGATACAGCCCAAGCCACAGAGGCACACGCGTTAGCAACACGTGGACCCCACCGCAGTATTAGCAATCATCTCTTGCTGTAAGTGCTTGGCTTCCAAGAGCTTTTATACAGATGTCTAAGAGCCACAAAATATATATAATTAGGCCAGTTCCCAAACAGCACAGGAAAGCTGCCAAAGGCGTTCCCTGAATTGAGAGGCAATGCACTGACAATGGGGACTATTACAGCCTCTGGATACAAGATGACGTATCTGTCAAATGCTACTCTAGAAATAATTAAGGTTCCCTTTAGTCATTTCACAGGAGTTGCTACAGCAGTACATAAAGTTTTATTAATATTCTGATTCTCGTGTCGTCGTTTTTATGGCAGGAAAGGATGAGGACATGCCCCACCTGTAATGTAGAGCAAGCAAACCACCAAGTAGGACCTTGAGATTCTCTCTAAACTGTTCTCTAGTAACACGCTTGTGCCTTTAATCTGCCTTTTAAAAGGGACACAGAACAAAAAATGCTTGTTTGCAAATAAACATCTGAAAGAATATAGTAACAGCTGACCTGGGCTGAGGCATCCAAACAAAGCGGCCATTGTGGAGGGAGACAATGCAAACCACACTGGGGCAAGAAACTGAGGGCAGAGAACGTGCGGTCATTTGTGCCTTGGTATTTCTACCAGCCCCAAGGCCCCATCTGGAACAAGTATCAACCAGGAGGGTCTCTATGGCTTGATTTATTAACCTAACTCGAAAGAAGTCACTGCCACCAACAGCACTGTGCAGTTTTATTAACCATTCAAGTCCAGTAGCATCTGGTAAGATTGGGACAGAATTGGGATTGAAAAGTGAACAGATATTCAGCATCTAACAGTTCAAAAGAAGCCACTACATACTCTTTTCACAAATATGTTTTCACAGAGCCAATACAGTACTAGCCATTAACCCAGTACACCAAGTGTACTGAAGTAGAAAAGATGCAACAAGAAAAATAGCTACATTAGAAAGACCAACACTTTAGAAAAAGAGTAAAACACTTTTAGTTTCTCCCCTTTAGCCCCTAAAACAACATCTTACAGTCTGAATCTACCTATACAGTCCTACATTAGCTTCTAAAATATTTGTCAGGAGGGAAAAAATAAAATGACACTGGCCAGTACAGTCTTTGGATATTTAGGAAGGGGATGGGGAGAAAGTCAGTTGTCAGAGCAAATTAGTCAGCTTCAGTCTCGTCAGCAGGGTCTTTGGATTCTTTGTTCTTCCGCACTTCTTCAATGTGCTTATCCTGTAAAGGAAGGGTAAGGTGTCATCAGTCAAAAAAAAAAAAAAAACCTGTCAAGTCACGACCCCCAGCCCCCACCTCAAAGAGGCCCAACACAACCTCGGTGCATATATTACAGCCTGTGGGAACCACAAAATTTGAGTTCTGAGACATCATCGAATCTCCTGGGTCCCTTGTAGAACCTAACAAGCTGCATACTGGTCTTCGAAGGACTATGCAATTATGCTGGGAATTACTGACTATTCCATCTTAAAATATACCTTTCATTTAACATGTTAAGCCCCAAATGGATGACAAAAAGACACCAAATACCTTTTATCAAAGCACTTAGTTCAAGCCAACTAATTGGTGCATCAAACTCCAGGCTCAACCCTTTTACAAGGTAAGAAACCAACCTTCTCTCGCAAACGTTCCAGTTTGGCAGCCATTTGTGCCTCTCGGTTCTCTTTGTTAGCTTCCATTTTGTGGGTCAGTTTCTCTTCTGCCATTTTACTGAAGTTGTTGTTCTCTTCTATTGCCTTCTGAAGCACTTCTTTCTCGTGCTCTCGTTTCTCAGCCAGCTGCTTTAAGACCTCAGCTTCATGCGACTGGAAAAAAAAAGTTTAATAGGCTAGGCACTTTGAAATGTATTCAGGCTGGGGGTGGTGGCTCACGCCTGTAATCCCAGCACTTTGGGAGGCCAAGGTGGGTGGATCATTTGAGGTCAGGAGTTCAAGACCAGCTTGGCCAACATGGTGAAACCCTACCTATACTAAAAATACAAAAATTAGCCAGGCGTGGTGGCGGGCACCTGTAGTATCCAAGCTACTTGGGAGGCTAAGGCAGGAGAATTGCTTGAACCCAGGAGGTGGAGGTTGCAGTGAGCCGAGATCGCGCCACTGCACTCCACCCTGGGTGACAGACTCTGCCTCAAAAAATAAAATGTATTTAGCATTAGTTAAAATTACAATAAAAATCAATTACTAAGGGGACTGAAAAGGGGCAGAAAATAAGGTCCGGTTTAAATAATACCGAGGTTAGGACCTGAATTATCCCTATCATACTGTAAAAATGGTATTTTTTCTAGTATTTGTATTTAACTTTGGAAAACTGCTTATCTGTTCAGAAATCTCTTACCCAATTAGTCCTTAAGGAAATCCTTGTAAGATTTACTGCTTAATGGTATCTGGATGACTTAAGGAATATGTACTTGGGAGTGGCACTTTTATTGTAAAGAATTTCACTATTTAACTTCAAAAGCTACCCAAAGAAAACTAGCTCATTGTAAAAATTTTAACCATAACTGGATAAAACAATGATAGGAAATGTAAGACTAAGCCTGCAGATTACTATTTAAGACAGAAAAATTTGTTTCAAGGAAAAGTCTTCTTAGCTTTTGTCTCAGGAAACTGCATTAATTACCAGACCATACCTTGGTATGACCCCTTCAACAGAACAGCTTGTTCTCAAAACACATTCAGATGTGTTTGGAACCACTGACTTGCAGGATAACCACAGAGCATCTGCCACTGGTTCTATTGATTCTCTTCTGCCAAATCCTAGTCATGATGGGAGTTTCACTATATTTAGCCAGTTACTATGTAAAGCACAGGCTAATGACTACAGGGCCAGGGTTGATGTCTAAAAAACTTTCCACTGTCCAACCTTTGGTTGTATTGCTTCCTCCTACTCCATGAACTCACACTATTACATAGAAGCATAGAAGATGACTCTTAGTGTAAGCACTGTGGCTCTTTGGGCGGGTGTGTATGTGTCCTACAAATCACACTATGCTGGTCTGGGGAAGGTTATTACCCTTACCTTTTGTGCCTTACTTGCCCCAACTTTAAAATCAATCCAATCAGGGTTGGGAAAGGGAGTTAAATGAAAAGTTATGTACAGTTGTTAATGAGTAACACCGAATGGAAAGAAACACACCAAAATGTTAACACTGGTTGCTTCTGGGAAGTGGGATAATTAATACTTTTAATTTCCATTTATAAATTTCTGTATTTTCCAAATTTTCTACAACTAGCATATTTATTGATTCTTCAAATTAGCTTTTAATGATAGTTACTTTATAATAGAATTGCTTAGATAAGAAAAGCTACCATGATACCAGCTGAGCAACACAATCACACTAGCAATTTAAAATGTTTTTATTGTACAGCTCTCAAAAAACAAAACCAAAGTGCCAAAGAATCATCTAGCAACATATCTTTTCAAAGAGGAAGCACAAGCTTCGATTTAAGACAGACCAGGGCTTAAATTCTGACCCCAACACTTACTAGTTGTATGACTGCAGAAAAACGACTTAACATTCCTGAAACTGTTTCTAATTTCCATTATTTGAGGCAACACCATGTATTAAAGGAGAAAAATACAAACAAAAGAGCTGGCACATAACAGGAGTTCAATAAGTGAGGACTGGTATTTCCTTCCAATCACTGGCATATGTAATAATCACAGTGTAGCTACAATTCTGTTTTCTTCTTGTTAATAGAAATAAAACTGATCTGCCCATTACATAAATTAATATCCTGCTTTCTGTGAATTGCTTCGTTTACCTTGCGTCTTTCTTCTGCAGCTTCTAATTTCTTCTGAATTTCCTCCAGAGAAAGATCCTTCTTCTTTGGAGGGGAAAGGGGGAATTCTGGAACAGATTCTTTTGACCGAGGGCTGAGAATCAGCTCAAAAGCCTGGCCTGAGGCACGCTTCTCCAGTTCTTTCACCTGGATATCTAGAATTGATTATATTTATAATTCAGAAAACCAGGATTCTCCTGTTCTAATAAACAGTACTATAATTTTCTAAAACCCAAATCAATTTAATGTATTAAATTAGGGCTGATGAGGAAAGTTGTGGTTTTTTCCCCTTTTTATTCCTATCAGCCTACTGACACTAGGGGAAGATGTGTTTGCAGCAAGATATTATCTAAATACCATTTCCCAAGGCCAGGTACCATGACTAATGCCTATAATCCCAGCACTTTGAGAGGCCAACATAGGAAGATCCCCTGAGCCCTGAAGTTTGAGACCAGCCTTGGCAACAAAGGGAAAGCCCATCTCTACAAAAAAAAATTTTTTTTAATTAGGTGGGTGTGGTAGTCCATGCCGATAGTCCCAGATGCTATGGAGGCTAAGGTGGGAGAATCGCTTGAGCCCACTTGAGCTCCAGAGGTCAAGGCTGCAGTGAGCTATAATTAAGCCACTGCACTCCAGCCTGGGCAACAGAGTGAGACCCTGTCTCAAAAAAAAAATAAAAATAAAAACCATCTCCCAGAAAAACAAACCTCAACATTTTTGGATTAATAAATACTGTTTTGAGACATCAGTGTCTGACAATCGCTTTCATAAACAAAAGACTTGTGCAAACTCCACAATTTTGCTTCAGACTAAGCCAAACTGTCTAATAAACAACTATGAGCTCTTGGCACATTCAAGTGATAATCATTTTTTAATTCTCATATTCATAAAATAGGTTTTGGATAAGACCATAAGTGCCAAATCAAAGGTGAAGACCTGAGCCATCTCAATTTAAAATCATAAGCCCATCACAATTTCAGCTTTTCCAAATAGATTACCTACCAGAAGAAGCCATGGTGAATAGAAGACAAGCGACAGGCAGTGTATTCTGCACAATCAACTGGGATAAGGAAAGCCCTGAAAATGATTTTCAAAAACATGCAATCACTTTCTTTGCCTTTCTATATGTCATCAACCAAAAGAGATCTCACACCACATCTACATACATCGTCAGAAAAATCACTACGTAGAATAAAGACGTCATTAACCACGAAAAAAATTATCAAAATCTAAATGAACATATTGGGAAATATGACCTGAATATGATATTGGTTGCAGAAAATCAAGTTAACTGAGTTTGCTCGTTCATAAAACTCGGATTTTTAAAATCAGACGAAGTCACAAGGGTGAAGGATCTTTCTCCCCCATAAACTCTTTAACATTTCCCCGAAACTGTAAGAAGATATTCCAGATTCAACTCAACAGTGCCCCCGGAGCCATCTTAATACTGCCTACAACTCATTGTGTAAATGAAATACCCACCCCTGCTTTGTCTGTGTCTGACGTGGTGGATAAAAAAACGCCCAAGCTAATAGTAACCAATAATGTTGAACTCCTATTGTCCCTCAGGTTTAAGCTCCCTTGCCCAACAGCAAGCAAAATGTTATTGAACCTCTAGATTTTTACTTATAATATTTGCTGCCGTTATGTCATGAAAAATGCTGTATCTCTTGATCTTTTTAAGATTATGATTTTTGTAGATCCCAGCTAGTACCAAAAACGTAGGATGACAGGTTGCCAAAAGCTAGAAATTTAAACCAGAGGCAGAGACAAGATTTAGGCAAAGCAGAAAATTAGACGCAGCACCGGACCCAGGATGGGCGTGGTCCTGGTCCAGACGAGAAGAGGACCAGTCGCCTCCGGCCAATCAGAGCACGCCCTGCGCTCCGGCCCCTGGCCCCGCCCCCTTCCTCCCCGCGCCTTTTCGAATCTCCCCGAACTCTCAACACCCCAGAGCCCGCGCGCGTGGGAAGGGGAGGGGTGGGCGGGGCTAACGGTCCAATCCGGGTAACTCCGCCCCTGCCTGACTCCCCCCGCGCAGACGCCCCCCCCCAACTCCCGCCAAAAACACCTCCAGGCCGCCGCCACCACCCCCGTCACAGTTCACCGGGTGGGGCAGGCCCTGGGAACAGGCCCCCGGGTGGCCCCGCGGTGGGCTCGTCACCGCCTCCCGCCGTCCCTATGCCCAGCCTGCCGCCATCCAAGCTGTCCGCCCGTCCGGCCGCGAAGACAGAAGAACCCTCGCGGGGACCGGGAGCGCCGCCCCTCAGTCACCAGCTGCGGTCGCCAGGGGACGGTCGCGGGGAGGGTCGCGTCCCTGGCTGCCCGCAGTTTGGCCCTAAAGCCGCTGGTCCCGGGGGGCGCCGCCCCGTCCCTTCAGACAATGGGGACCCCGGCGGGGCCCGCAGGGAAGAGAGGGAGTGAGGTAAATGAGGGCCCACGCCCCCTATTGTCTCGTCGACGGCACCCCGGAGCGGACTCCGGGTGCTCGCCCAGCCCCCTGCCCACGAACAGCCGCGCCCCCAGACAGCGGGGACAAAGGCGAGGCTCCGCCCGAGCCACACACAAAGCGGAGCGACCCCCGCCCACCAGCCCCTCCGGGCCCCGCAGCCCCGCCCGCCGCCCTGCAGCAGGGGGTCGCTGCCACGGCCCAGCCCCTCCCGCCGACCGGATCCCTCTTGCTGGCCGCAGCCAGCCGCCGCCTCCTCCGAGCCCCGCACCCACCTGCTCGGTCCGAGCCGCCTGACCACACTCTGAGCACCAACAGACCCGGGCGCGCACAAAAGCGCCAAACAGCGGCACGTGACCTCCCCGCAGGGCTCCGCATTGGCCGAGAGCGGCGGCACGTGCCGCCCCCGCCCCCAACAACCCGCGTGGAGCCCCGCCCCCCGGGACCCCGAAGCACCCCGGGAAGTGTAGTCCTGGCCGGCAGGGCAGGAGGACAATGCGGGGGGTTGCGGGACGCCTGGGGAGCATCCCCAGGTGTGGGTCTGGGGCTGCGGGGGTGGTCTCGCCGTGGAAGAGGGAGTGGCAGTGGACCCCGGACTAGGTCCGAACCAGCTCCCCTTTCTCGAGAACAAGGGCAGGGCGGAGCAGGCGTGGTGGTGGGGTCCTTCCCTACCTTTCCAGACCTTGGCCGCCTGGACCCCGCCTTGTAAGAGCCACGTGCCCGCCTCGCCCCAAGGGCAGCACTCAGAGCAGTGCCCCTTCTAGTGCCCCACCCACATGGGTACCTAAGACGCCCGAGCCCCTGTGACAACACAATGCCACTCCACGCCCTTGCGGGGCCCCCTGCCCCCGGCGCCCTACACCGAGACCGGCGTGTCACCCATATTGTGACATCATCGTAATTTCTAATCCACTCAGCCCACAGGTCGCGGGCGTGTCCCTTCCCTCGCTGTGTGCGTTCTTGCCAGCATCCTCAGGTTCCCGAGCCGGTGACCAGGGACCTGTGCGGGAAAGCGTGAGGCTCTGGAATTTGATCGCCTTTGGTCTAACAAAGCCACTCAGCTTCAATGCAGACTCCATCTGTTCTGCCAAGCCTTCCGCGGATGATAGGGGAGGAAGAGCAATAGTCGTTCTAGACTACACAGATTGCAGTTAAGTGTTGCTTTTGTTCTCAGAGCACGTGCTCCCCAGAGCAGCACTGGGTTCCTTTTAAAAATCAAAAAAGGAGCCACAAGGTCGCTGTTCCCCCTGACCTGGATAGCTCAGAACCTCAGCAGAGGCACAAAGGAAATCGGTCTGACTGAGGCTTAGAATAACTGGCCCTTTCTCCCACAAGAAGAGGGAAAAAAATAAATGAAATGTACATGGTCCCCGCCTCCTCCCATTCTCTGACCAAGACTGTGTCCTCCGTTGGTGGTCAATACACCAAGGCACCTGCTTTGAGATCTTGACTAAACAGAAGAGGTATATTTATTTTATTAATGGGCTGCATCTCCCCAAATCAAGAAATAAATATGACCAACCTTCCTGAAACAGCCGTTCTAATTTAGAAAGACTCTCATGCCTAGTTAGCCACTAGGCATGTGCCAGAGATAAAATACAACTAAGAGGTGCCCGAGACAATAAAAACTGGATCATACAAGCAGCAGCACACTACACAAAGCAAACAATTAGCAATGCGCTGTTGCCTGAAATATGCTTGTTGCGGCACTTTTTCCAACAATCGCCCTTGTGTGGGGTCGGCCTCCCCCCGAAGCCAATCTAAGTGGTTTTCACTTAGCCTGTGAGCAGGACCAGGAATAATTCAGATTCTGAGCATTGAAAGGCTTCTCAGACCAAATTTGGCTTCAAAATGGCTAGGTGCTTCCATCTGTCATTTTTCTGAACAGAGTCTCAGAAATCATTAGAAAAGTTGGAGAGGGATGGGGATGAGACCCCTCAGGAAAGTGACAGATAGGCAGGCAACACAAATGAGCAAGGAACCCAAGCCCAAGAGGTCCTTACCCACTAAACAGGCTTTTTATCTTGAAGTCTTTGTATTTGATCTGGAGGTTCACGGAGGAAAGTCCCACTCATTTAATGCATTTTTTTAAGTACAATAAATTGCCACACAAAAATCTCACATTCCTAACTATTAATGTTGTGACAGAAAAAGGAAATAAATCTTTCAAAACACTGATTATTTTAAAGCACTTACACTGCTTCCCCCCACCTTTTCTTTCTCCCTAGAGCAGATGTCTATTTCCATGGAAACCATAGCAAGGAACGTAGATGTTAGAACTCATGTCAATTTTTAATCTTTTTTAGCAATGCCACTTGGCTTCTGGGTTTGTTGGGAGATGCCTGGTTCGGCCAGTCTGTGACAATGTCCCGAGCTCCTCACAGCTGCTTGAGGACTGAGAGGGCTGGGTTAAAGTTTCCCCTAGAATGAGCCTATGAATAAAAAGGTGCTTTTGAGGTGGGATGATTCCTGTCCTTTTATTATTATTATTATTATTTTACTTTAAAAAATTGAGACAGGGTCTCACTATGTTGCCCAGGTTGACCTCGAACTCCTGGGATCAAGAGATCCTCTTGTCTCAGCCTCCCAAAGTGCTGGGATTACAGGCATGAGCCACCGCACCCGACCTGATCCCTGTCCTTTAGGGTGGGGCTGCCATTCCGAGAGCCAGATCACAGCTCATTGTCAGCTTTTGTGGGTATCCTATATAAGCCTTGGAATAGGAAGGGCTTTCAGCTGTAAGGAGAGACAACAGCTTTGCCACTTCACTTTGGAGAGGGGCAGAATCGCCCTTCTTGAAAGCTTCCTAAAACGAACTTCAAGATCCACTCTCTTCTGAAGTGGCAGCAAGGAGTTAATGTTCACATCTTGGAACTGTCTATCTTTACCCATGAGAATTATTTTTGCCTCTGCTCAGATGGTTTGGTTGGATTGTTATGGAGCTGGCTGTGACTATGGAGCCACACAACGAAGTGGAGATATGGCAGTCATCCAGCTTATTTGATCTGTGTAGACAGCTAAAGGAGAGCTCTTCAGGCTTCAAAGTCCAGAAGGAATGTCTACACTGATCGAACGGCGGGCCAGGCCGTTGTCAGATCTCCTCTCCTGCCAGACAGCCCGGCAGCCTTTGTTCATTGTTGGCCTTGAGGCTGCAGGGTTTGTCTCCCACATGGCGCCTCCAAGTTCCACAGCTGCTTGTGAGGCCTGTCCTTGGCCAAAGGGTGTCGTGGGAGAGAGAGGTTTGCTTGTTGTCCCCAGTCTCTCTGTTCCCTTTGTCCCCTAATCCTCAAGCACTATGCTCTAACACTCCCTTCTCTATCCGAAACCTGTCTATGAGTCTGCTATTTTACATGTCAGTCTCCTTCACTAGACCATTAGGTCCTAGAGGGCAGGGTGCTGTCTTTCTCTTGGTATCCCTAGTGCAGTGGCCATCCTCAGGCCTGGCCCAGGATGGTGGCGCCTGAATGTTTGCAGAGAACTTTGGGAAAGAACAACCTCTCAGCCAGGCATGGTGGCTCACACCGCTAATCCTAGCACTTTGGGAGGTCAAGGTGGGCGGATCACAAGGTCAGGAGATCAAGACCATCCTGGCTAACACGATGAAACCCCGTCTCTACTAAAAATACAAAAAATTAGCCAGGCGTGGTGATGGGTGCCTGTAGTCCCAGCTACGCAGGAGGCTGAGGCAGGAGAATGGCGTGAACCTGGGAGGCGGAGGTTGCAGTGAGCTGAGATAGCACCACTACACTTTTTTTTTTTTTCTTTTTTTTTGAGAAGGAGTCTCGTTCTGTCGCCCAGGCTGGAGTGCAGTGGTGCGATCTCGGCTCACTGCAAGCTCCGCCTCCCAGGTTCATGCCATTCTCCTGGCTCAGCCTTCAGAGTAGCTGGGACTACAGGCGCCTGCCACCACACCCGGCTAATTTTTTGTATTTTTTTAGCAGAGACGGGGTTTCACCGTGTTAGCCAGGATGGTCTCGATCTCCTGACCCCGTGATCCGCCCGTCTCGGCCTCCCAAAGTGCTGGGATTACAGGCTTGAGCCACCGCGCTGGGCCAGCACCTCTACACTTAAGCCTGGGTGACACAGCGAGACTCCGTCTCAAAAAAAAAAAAAAAAGAACAACCTCTCTTATCCTTCTGTGAACTTCTGTCTCTTCTGTGATATTAGACACCTGAACTCTATGGGACAGGTGAGGGTTAAATGAAATAATGTAAATGAAAACACTTAGCACAATGCCTGGCACATTTAAAGTGCTAAGCACTTGTTAGGTATCATTGCTAGAGATGTTTCCTGATTGCTGTAGATTATTTTATTTTTATTTTTATTTTTTGAGATGGAGTTTTGCTCTTGTTGCCCAGGCTGCAGTTCTCCCGCGATTCTCCCGCCTCAGTGTCCTGAGTAGCTGGGATTACAGGCGCGTGCCATCACACCCAGCTAATTTTTTGTATCTTTAGTAGACACGGGGTTTCATCATGCTGACCAGGCTGGTCTCGAACTCCTGACCTCAGGTGATCCACCTGCCTTGGCCTCCCAAAGTGCAGGGATTACAGGCGTGAGCCACTGTGCCTGGCCTGCTATAGGTTATTGAATGAGTGAATGACTATTAGACTTTCACCCTTTGATGGAAATTGTAGTTACTGGGTTAACTCTTCCCATGGGGTTAAATTCAATTCATTTAACACTTTAAATAGGTAACACATTCACATGGTTTAAAAATAAAGTATAAGAAGCCCTTCTTATCTTCCAAGTTCTCTACCAACCACTCCCCCACCATAATCTCTGCTAATCAGTTTCCTGTGTATCCAGGAGTTTCTTCATGTGTACACAAGCAAACTTGTAAGTATGCATTCATATCCCCTCTCTTTTTATACACATGATAGCCTCCTATAACTGTTCTTTGCTTAGCAGTTTTCACAACAGTACATGTCAGGGTCTGGGTGTGGTAGCTCACACCTGTAATCCCAGCACTTTGGGAGCTCAGGGCAGAAGAATCACCTGAGGCCAGGAGTTTGAGACCAGCCTGGGCTACATAGCAAGAACCTGTGTCTACAAATAAATGAAAAAATACAAATAAGTAAAGAAAATTAGCTGGCATGGTGGCATGGGCCTGTAGTCCTAGCTAAGGTGGAAAGACTGCCTGCAGTGAGCCAGGATCACCCACTGTTCTCCAGCCTGGGTGACAGAACGAGACCCTGTCTCTTTGTTTGTGGAGTCAGAGTCCCACTCTGTCACCCAAGCTGAAAGAGACAGGATCTCATTCTGTCACCCAGGCTGGAGTACAGAGGCACCATCTCGACTCATTACAACCTCCGCCTCCTGGGTTCAAGGGATTCTCCTGCCTCAGCCTCCTGAGTAACTGGGATTACAGGCACATGCCACCATGCCCGGCTAATTTTTTGTATTTTTAGTAGAGATGGGTTTTCACCATGTTGGCCAGACTGTCTTTGAACTACTGACCTCAAGTGATCCACCCACCTTGACTTCCCAAAGTGTGGGAATTACAGACGTGAGCCACCATGTCTGGCCAGAGACCCTGTCTCTTAAACAAACAAACAAAAACCATGTCAGGGGTCTTTTCCCTGTTCATACATCAAGCATTTCTTTGATCTGGTGTCCATGGTATGAATATTCCAAGATGCAGTTAACCAGTGCTCTATCTGTGGCCCTTAGGTTACTCCCAATTATTCAGAATAGCTCACCATGCTGTAATGAATGACCTCGTTCATATGGCATTTCCCATGGGTGTGAGTATATCTGCGAGACATATTCCTAGAAATGGTATTTCAGGGCTAAAAGGCAAGCACATTTGTAATTTGGATAGTGCCAAATTGCCTTCCACGTTGTACCAATTCAACACTCGCCATGTGGCACTTTAATTCATTATCTCAACTCATTCAAAAATGATTTGAAAGGCTTTGTCCCTAGAAATGTCAGGCATTAGAGAAAAGGAGGGGGAGGAACTGAAATCCCAAGAAAGACATGGCTGTCAATTCTGTCTATATTAATAACTCCTATAAATATTTGACAAGCAACAGGCTGATCTCAGAACAGCTCTGGTGCCTGCACTGTGGCACCCGTCTCAGTCCTGCTCGTGGCTGCAGTGAGATTTGAAGTGCACCTCCATTGGAAGAGATTGGACTGCGCTGAGATTGGAAGTGCACTGTGAGACTGGAAGCTTTCTGAAGGCAGGGTCTTTCTCATTGCCGTGTCTCAATCCCCTCCGAATGTGCCTGGCACAGATCTTATTTAAGTAATTCTAAGATGTATTTTTCCCCACATTTTTTGATCTTTGAAATCAGTTGGTCCTCATAAATAGCATGTCATAATTATTGACAGCTTTTTATCTTTTTTGTTGTTCTTGTTGTTTTGAGATAGGTTCTCACTTTGTCACCCTGGTTGGAGTGCAGTGGTATGAACATGGCTCACTGCAGCTTCAACCTCTCAGGCTCAAGTGATCCTCCTGCCTCAGCCTTCTGAGTAGCTGGGACAACAGGTATGTGTTGGTTAATTTTAAAAAATTTGTTAGAGATGGGGGTCTCACCACGTTGCCCAGTCTGGTCTTGAACTCCTGGTCTTAAATGATCCTCCTGCCTTGGCCTCCCAAGGTGTTGGGGTTACAGGAGTGAGCTGGTCCAGGCACACCTGGCCTAGACTGGAATCTTTTAAATGTTAATAGCTCACATAGAATGCTTACTACACAGCAGCCACTGGTCTAAACACTCCACATGTACTAACTCACTTAATTCTCATGACAGTCTTATGAGGTATTATTAGCCTAATTGAAAAGATGAGGCAATGAAGGTGACCAACTGTCCTGGTTTGCCAGGGACAGAAGGGTTTTTCCAGAACTTGAGACTTTCAGTGCTAAAACAGGGCAAGTTCCAGGCAAGCCCAGATGAGTTGGTCATTCTAAATAAAGGAACGGATTCAGAATGCCTTTTTTAGAGGGAAAAAATAATAAAATAAAGGAAACTGAGGCATGGAGAGATAGTACCTTTTTAAAGGTTTTGTTTTTGTTTTTAGACAGAGTTTCGCTCTTGTTGCTGAGGCTGGAGTGCAATGGCGCAATCTCGGCTCGCCGCAACCTCCACCTCCCGGGTTCAAGCGATTCTTCTGCCTCAGCCTCCCAAGTAGGTGGGATTACAGGCATACACCACCATGCCCGGCTTATGTTGTATTTTTAATAGAGACATTTCTCCATGTTGGTTTCTTTACATTGGTCAGGCTGGTCTCAAACTCCCAACCTCAGGTGATCCACCTGCCTCGGCCTCCCAAAGTGCTGGGATTACAGGCGTGAGCCACCGTACCCAGTCTCCTTTTTTAGACATGTCAAATGGGGTCCTTGTCCTAGGCCCTACTCTTTAGAGGGCTGCACCCTAATCCTCCTCCAGTTGTGTCCCTCCTCACAGTTCCCTGGGGCCAAAGAGATGTATCCATCTGGAGCCTGTGCACCCCT